TAAGAACATAGTAGTTGAACCTGGATCAGATACTGACTAGCAGTTACAGCCCTAAAATTTTCACAAATGAACCTGTAGGAAACATTCCAAGCCTTAGTACTAGATTCATCTAGGTCCTCTCGTAGTTCGTTCTCTGACTAGAAGGGGTTGTCACGTTAATTCTACCATCTATTTTATTTAGCCAAAAACAAAGGCAAATCAATTGCTTTTCCTCTAAGCTGTTCCTAGCCAATTTAGTTAGAGAAACAGTCACCTGACTTGCCAGAAGCATTTGATTATTAAAAACTACTGATAAAGAGGAAATCAGTTCTCTGATTCATACTGAAATCTTGAGGGTGTTTGTTTTGTGCTTCAGAGAGTGGATGGTACAGTAGTGACACTATACCCATCAATAAGATAACCTATAAATAATAAATTTAGTCATCTTCCATGGTTTAAGTTTTTGGGGTATAATTATTTAGGGTATGGTATCAAAGTTTAAGGTCCTTATTTCAAGTTTTTACTGTGTAAAGTTTCATTATTTATCTATTTATCCCTGTAATTGAGTTATCAGTTTTGTTATGTATTTTAGTCTGGTCAATGTGCAATTCCACTTGCAAGTGGGAACGAATATTAAGATACAATATGAATTGTTAACTTTGACGTTGTCCTACTAGCCTGAGCTTTTGAGGAAGCTATTGCATATATTTTATTAATATATTGTATCTTTAACAATGTTTGTAATAGTGCTGAAAATCTGAAGTAAGCAATTTGCAGGTTAAGAAAGTGAATGGAGTGGAAGTTGAAAACTTGAAGCATTTATGCCAGCTTGTGGAGTGCTGTAGCGCAGAGAACTTGAGGTTTGATTTAGATGATGACAGGGTAATTGTATTAAACTATCAAGTGGCAAAAATAGCCACATCTAAAATTTTGAAACGTCATAGAATTCCTTCTGCCATGTCCTCTGACCTTCTTAGCGAACAGAACAACTCGGAGATTGAGTTAGCTTGCTCAAGCTGAGCTCTCTTTGGATACTACTTGTCAGTGCATCAGCTGGCGAAATTTTGTTCTTATTTAGTTGCCATTTCTAATCTTTAAATTATGGCTCATATTTTATTTTAGTTATTACTTTTTAATTCTAATTTTGTTAAATAAAATTTTTAACATTGCCATTGTTTTCTTGAGAAAATGTAGGTTTTACTCAAGTCTCGTTTTCATGTCGCTAAAGAGAATTTTAATTCCTACTTGTACAGGAATTATAATTTTATCCCCAAAAAATCAAACCCATCGATTTAAATGTAAAAATAATATTTTTAATTAAATAAAATGAACAAGAACTCAAAAGTTTAAGACTGGCTTCATTGGAGCTTGAAAAGCACATCTAAGGATCATGAGAAGTTCTGATTAGGGATTATGGTACAACATGAATCTTTTAAGCCCGTAGGTGGAAGTAAATTCAACATATCCAAATTCATCAAAACTAAGAGTAATTTAAGTTAAAACAATTCACTCTAGGCTTTATTTGCAGAGAAACTACAAACAAACACCAATAGGATCTTCCATAACAAGGAGGACATAATAATATATTTGAGATTCCTATCAATCCTGGTCAGTTTCATTAAGGTTTTCCATGGGCAAGGAACACCAAGATTAGCAATTTAACTTACGGTGCTTACCAGCTGAGAGAAGCCTCTGTCACCCACCTGCCAATGCTTACGCTGTTTCGCCCAGCCAAAAGACCGCTTGTGGTTCATCCATCTGCTCTAGTTTTAAAATCATGTCACGGTCATCTTATATTTTGACAACAATGCATGGCTATAGTGACAAACACTCACTTCCCGGTGCTTAATAATTCACATTTATGTCAGGATACGGCCATCAAAAAGACTACGTAAATATCAAATAACTACTAACCACAAAGTTCTCTTCAAGTACCAATACTTTGATAACATAAGGATTTCCATGAATAATGTAAGCCCATGAACAAAGAAGCTTTCACCTGGTGCTGCTAGTTTTCTGCTTGGCCTTCTCTATCAGAGGTTTCAATTGCTTCTTTTCTGCAAGAATCTTAAGGAAGTTAAACAAAAATGGGATGTAATTGTGCTTCCTACGAATATTCTCAGTCCTCCACTTCTTGAATTTTTCTTCCTCCATTAAGATCTTCTCAGTTGCACCCTCAATCCCAGCATTTACTTCCGACAGTGATTTGTTTAGAGTTTCGAAACTGCTTTTGTCCACCAATCTCTCTGACTGTAAGCTGGCCAACTGCTGCAAGATCCGCTCCCTCTTCTTCTGGAGCTCCTTGAGTTCAGCAGTGTACATTTCCTTCCTGTTCTTGATAATTGCCATGAGATTGAATCTTATTTCGTTTTTGGAGTACCTCTCAATGCGTTCTTGGATCACAGGTTGCACCATTTGTAACCATTCCAAGTCACCTTGACCACCAGGGCACTGACCAAGACTAATGGGTCCCTCCTTCAAACCATCAAGCTCATATAGTACCCCATCGACAGGTAAGTAGCTTATGAAGTGGTAAACATCATCATCTTTTGTTGCAGCCTTCTGCTCCTCTGGAACAAAAGGTTCGGGCCTAGCAAAACTATTATGAGCTGTACGAATAGCTTCACTGTTATTGATAGCCAGACCTTTTAATTCAGGGGGAAAGTTCTTGGTGAAATCTTTAAGCTTTGACAATTCTGGGCCAATGTCAACATCTGGAGAATTCATGAGGATAGACAAGATTGCTTGGGTTGCACAAGCATTATTTATGACCTGTTAAGTATCAAACAGTACATGACAAATTCTCACACAGTTATGACTCTATAAATATGTATAACGTTGATAACTAACCTGGCTAGCAAAAAACAAGTTAGGATTCGGATCTTTGATTACAAGTCGGTCATCCTTTTCTCCAGGACGCCACTTGAAAAGAAAAATCAACCCATACACTGGCCTGTAAACCAAAGGAAAATCAGGATGCAAAACATCATGAAATGAGTACATTCAGATATCATGTCTGTGCAACTACTAACCTAAGGCTGTTAAGAGAATCAAGGTCCAATGAATACAATTCTTCAACCTGCAAAACATGTCAAGGCATCATATAGAGGAAGCTGATTGGGGGTGGCAAAGGAAGCAATTGTTTTTTTCTTTTTCTCTTAAATGTTCTAGCAATAGTGACTAGACAAGTGTAGGAGGTAATAAGTTTTTTTATGATGAAATGAAACAGTCGGCCCAAAAAAATGTCTGATCGGAAAGAAACAAGATGGGGCCCTAGCAGAAACCCTCTAACTTCAAAAGCTAAGCCCAGATTACCCATAATAAAAATTCTGCTTATCAGAAACAAGAGATGCATAAAGATGAATACATCATTCAACTAACTGGTCAATTTGAGGCAAAGAAACTTTACAGCTTGATGGGGTTTACTTTCAATCTCTCTTTGCAAACACTCGAACAAAAAGTCTGGATTGTTATTCATTCAGCACTCAACAGTTGACTTTTTTTTTTCTTTTAATAAACTCAACAGTTAATTTGATTAGAAATAGAGAAATAAAACACCAGAACTACTACAAACAATAACCTAGACATCCTAAAGAGAGGCTTTTCACGTGCATGATCCACTGTTGAACAAACAAAGAAAAAAATAAATTATTACTTACATCATATTTTGTTTTAAAGAAAAAGTCTGTATTATTGACAAGACGAAAAGAAGGCTCTGCCTATGTAAATAAGGTCTGATTTAAAAAAAAAAAAAACATTGAGGTTCCCACTCTCTCATTAGAGATGTAACGGTTAGTGAACCATCATTGATCCTCCTACAGTACTCTTAACACACACCATATAAGTGAAGAACATAGAACTAAAATAAATTGTCAAAAGAACTTTACACTGTTCATGTTTAAAATAAGAGAAATTCAACAAGAGTTACCTGTACACCTTTTACTTGCATTTGTTGTATCAGTTCTGTAAACACACCTGAAAGCAGACCATAAAAAAGTTTAAGCCACCTCTTGATAGTTATAATTGCTCGCTATTAAATGATTATTGGGCAATCTTGGGAATGGTCTTTCTTCTTTAATATTTTTCTCGCCCTGAAATAACCATAGAAACCTACCAAGTTGCCCCATCAAATCTTAAAGCATTACCTTCTAAACCTATCTTTCCTTACAGCAATTGATGCCAAACATCTTTTTAAATTATAAAAAAACTGTTCATGGAATTGTTTACATTTTATACCATACATGGCAACTCGATTCTTCATTTCTTCTTCTTGCCTAGTTACAGGCCAAAATTATAACCTGCATTAGCAGCTCATACTTTCCTATGAGTCACAATAAAATTACTCAAAAAAGTTTTTCAACAAATAAAAAACTACCAATTCATATAGTTTAATGGGGAAAAGAAACCTTTCACATCCCTGCCAAATCACACTTAGTTATTACACACCAAATTAGCCGCTGTCTACCTTGATTAACTCAATTCCCTAGTCCCAGACAGACATTAATCTTTCAAATCCTCATCAATAATAACCTAATCGTGCTCTCACACCTAATAAAGTTCAAAGCCGTTCAAAAGGAGAATAAAATTCAGTGGGACAAACTTCCACTATAAATATCTAAGGTCAGGGAAAGAGGTAGAACTGTACCAGGATCAGATTCAATCGTGCACCAAGACATGATGGGCTATCTGCACCGAAAAAATTTGCGTCACTAAACACTGAAAATACTAGGTTACTTCAATTAAACTACAAAAAGATTCATCAAGGTTGAGTTAAAATTTGCAGCAAAATCTTGAAAACGAAGAAAAAATTGAATAGCTAATCAATAAAATCAACAATTCCCGTTTCCTGAGAGAGAGAGAGAGAGAAGTAACCTGTTTCTACGGTGCAGAGAAGAAAAGGATGTTATGAGTCGACAATGAAGGATGCGAGCGTAATTGTTGAGAAACAAAGAGGGATAGCAGATTCCAGACCTAACTGTCAAGTAGGAAGTCCCAAAACCAAAGGCCCAAACTTTAGGGTTTTTTTTCTGATTTCCCTTATTCTTCTCAAGTTCTGCAATTAATTAACTCTCCTATTCTTGTTTTTTGATGAATATTTTTGCGCAGACAGTGAAGCTCCCCAAGTTTATATATATATATATATATATATATATATATATTAGATAGAGATTTATATAGATATATAATCAAAACACCTCTTTAATATTAAAAAAAATATTTATATCAGCCCTTGTATTTTTTATTTAAAATAAACCCTACATTTTTTTAAATATTTATATCTGTCTCTCTATTTTTTTTAATTTAAAATAAACTCTGTATTTCTAATTTAATATGTAACATCCATTTTATATAATTTTAAATAATTTTAATTATCAACAATTATTTTAATTAAATACTTAATTTCTAAATAATAATATTTTTTACAATTATTTTTACTAAATATCTAACAAATTTAAACTAACTGCAATTATTTTAATAACATTTTTAAATTTATGTATTTATTAAAAAAACAACACTTTAAAATTTATAGCTGAACCTATTTTACCTCTTTTTATTAAAAATAAAAAATTAAATATTCTAAATAAATAGAAAATATTATATATTAAATTATAAAAAAATTAGAGAATAAATAATAGAAAATATAAAAGTTTAAAAGTTAATTTAATAATTTACTATTTACTTTTCAAGCTCCATGACTAAAAAAAACGAGACTTTTTGTCTTCCATTTTGTTTTGTCGTTTTGCTACCGCCATTAAAGCAAAACGTTCCTCCTGCCTCCTTCCCTCCCTTTTTCGGGGGGCTCGTGCGCCAGATTAATTTGATATTCTAATCACTTATTAAATTAAATTAACTTAGTGCTAATCATTGTTATTTATTTAATATTAAATTAATTACTTTAAACATTTTAAATTCTATCATATTTTAATTATTATTTTTACATATAATATATATAGATTAAAATTATTGATGTAAAAGTAAAAACTAATATTTTAAAAAAGTAAATTGACAAATATAATATATTAAAATAAATAATTTAAATACATATATATAATTATTCTAAATAAATACATACACATATATATATATAATAAACACCTGAGGAGCAATTAATCCTGTTTCTATTCTTTTTAGGAGACGCACAGAGAAAATATTACAGGCGCAGAAAAGAGAGAGAGAGAGAGGAGAATGGCAGGAGGCCGGTGTTGGTCATTGTCATCGGAGAAGATGATACAGCAAGCGAAAGAGGAGCTGCAGATACTCGAAGCTCACTATCCAAATCGATTTGATTACCTGAAGCTCGAACTCAACTCTTTCATCTTCCAATATCACTATTGCCACTCTCCAATTTCCACTCCTTCCACTCCCGCTACCACTCAAGGTTCTCCCTAAATCTCCTCTTTACTTCCTCTATTCGTTTTATTTTTCCCCTAACATTAACCACTAACACAGATTTCGTCTATATATGTGTGTGCCGGTATATGTATACATGTGTAGTTGATGATTGGATTGGAAAAATTCCGTGAATATATGTGTGTACCAGAGCATGTATGCATCTGTTGTTGATTATTGGATTGGAAAAATTCCGTGAATGTGTGTATCGGTGTATGTATAAATGTGTTTTTTATTACTGGATTGGAAAAATTCCGGGAATATATGTGTATCAGTCTTCTATTCATGTGTTGTTGATTATTGGATTGGAAAAATTCCGTGAATATGTGTATCGGTGTATGTATACATGTGTTGTTGATTATTGGATTGGAAGAATTCCGTGAATATATGTGTGTATGAGTGTATGTGTACTTGTTTATATATGTTAATATCTGTTTTCCGTTATTGATTCGATTGAATAGGATCGTCGACGAACAAGAAGAGGAAGATTAACGTGGAAGAAGATGATGGTGATGGGAGATTGATGGTGAAGCAGAGAAAGGATAGAGTTGATTTGGTGCTGGAGAGGGCGGAACTTTGTCTTCGAAAAATTCGACAAGTGAAATCTACCTTCTTTTCCTAATTTTATTCGATTTAAAATCTGTATATTCTCTCTTCCCGCTTGGGCGCAGATTAATTTTTTCCGCCATTTTCTCGGTTGCCAGTCTACTTGCTTCTTCTTTTCCTTTTTTTTTTTCTTCAAATCTTGGGTTTTGTTATATATATATATATATATATATATATGTGTGTGTGCATGTGACCCAAAAATCATCCAAACGAGGAACAAACAGTGCATTGCTCGAAAAGGAGATTAGAGAGAGAAGCAAACAGAAACAAACTTTTAGAATATTATTCAAGTGGTGGAGCTACTACTCACCCCTTGAGAAACAAAGGAATACTACTCATAATATGTTTGGTAAGGTCTTATTCAATTCATGAAAAAAAAATTCTCAATGGAGGGTAAGAAACATATCTTATTATTGTTTACTAATATATACACATATATATATATAAATATATACTCAGAAACTAACTAAATCGAAAGCTCTTTCTTTTTTTTGTTGAGAAAAAGTCAATTTTATTAAAATTCATTCAAACAGTACAAAAATTTTAGGTGGTAACCCATTTCAAACATGAAAATTAGAATGAACATAAACCACTATTGCAATATGGCGGACAACTCTATTATCTTGTCGTTGGGTCTTAAGAGATGTACACATTCTGTCTGAGTTTCAGGAATATCTTGTAGTCTTCTGTAGTGTAGCCAAATGGAAAGTTCAATCTTATGAGATTAAAACTATTAAAGTTATTTTGTTTCCTTCATAAATCCAATTCATTGTTTAAAAAAAGCTTTTGTGTTTAACACAAGTACGTGTTTTAACAATATAATCAAAGCAATTTATTGAAACAGTTTTCGTAATTTTAAAAATTAAAATAAATTTTTGATATTTATTACAATTTGAGTATTAATTTTTTATTTATTTCGAATGTTCAAGCAAATTAAATTATTTATAGATATTTTTTTAAAAATAATTAAAACGAATTTTAATTAATAATAAAAAGAGAAAGAGAATGTATTACGTGTGTTTCATATTTTTCTCATATAAATATTTTTTTTTATCTCTCATGGACAATAACATGTTCGTATATTTTATATATTTGTATGAAGAACAATAATTAATAGAGAAAATAGATTGATTATTAAAATATTTTTAAAATTTTCATAATTAATTTATTTAACTTCAATAAAATACTATACATTATTTATTTTTGTTTTATTTAAATATTTAAGTTTATAAAACATATAATTTTAGGAAAAATTCTTGCACTCCACTCCCTCCGCCCCGACCCTGTAAATTCATTGTTTCGAGGGTGCCGCTCCATCAAAAGCAACAAACAACAAACAACCCAGTAGTTTTGCTCCGCTAACAAGAAGAATTTCAAAAAGTTTTATTTACGAACATGGAAATTTCTCCTCTATAATTTCTGTTCAACTCTGGAGCATAGACAAGAAGAAGAATTTGAAAAACCGAAAACTATGGTGTGGGGACTCTTTCCCGTCGATCCTCTTTCAGGCATCTCTTTAAATTTACTTCTTCTTCTTCTCTTCAATCTATCTGTTATATGTGTGGCTGTTCTCAAATCCTGTATGTTTTAGCCAGTGTTACTCAATGTTTAATTTATATGGTAATACTGCGTAGAGAAATGTATTCATGGTCTTTGTATGTTTTTTTTTTTTATTGTTGGGTTTTATTTTTTAGGTTTCGTTTTTTGGTTGATTCTTCAAGTGTTGAGGGTGAATAAGATTAAAAAAGACAGTATTTTTGTTTGATTGCTGAGAAAGTTACTTTATCTACTGGGAAAGTTCCTTCAGTTTACTGAAAATTGGTGTGACTGTTATCTAAATTTGAATTTTGAAGCTTCTTGCGACGTAACTAATTTTTCTTTTCTGGATTAGCCATCAAGTAATTTTCAACTCCAATGAGCAGACAGAGTATACTATGTTTATTCATTTTCCCTTTTTCTTCTTATCCTTATTTCTTTTATAATATAAATTTACTCAAATGTTCGTTGATATGTATTACAGGTGAAGATAAGTACTACATTTTTGCAAAGGGCATTTTCAAAGTGGGTCGAAAAGGTGTGTTATAATAGCCTGTATTACATTTCCTTCTAATATACTTTGCTAAGTTGTTTACTGGTTTTATATTGAACTGTATACGACATTTTTCTATTTGGAAATATGTTGAAGGGGTCGATATTCATTTGCATCGACGCTTGTCTAGGTTTTTTCATATTTGGTTAATGTGCTGTGAAACCTTATGGGGGTGACATTTAAGGTTTATATTTGTCTAATATTGTTCTCATTTTGGGATGGAGTGTTATGTCTTGAAATTTTCATCTTGATGGCCACAATAAAATTGTGCATGACACATTTCTAAAGTGGTAGTGTTTCAAACAACACTATTAGGAAATGTGTTGTGTATAGTCCGTAAGGTAAAGAGTATATTAGTAGTATAGCAATCTCATGTAATTAAGTGAATTCCTTTTATTTTTCATATAAACCTGTATATATAGCATCTTACTATTCAATAAAGGTCATATTATATTCTCTGCATGATATTAGAGCTCGAGGCGATAATCTCCCTCATACTTCTTATTTGGCCTTACTTGCCCTAAGCATTATTTTGAAAGATGTCAGAGGTTACGTTTCAATCTATCGGGGCAAACTTCCCATTGGGAAATTCAGCACAAAGCAACAGAAAATTTCAGCCAATCTAGGCTGCATATTGCTTCAATGGTAAAGATTACTTGAGTTGGTTATAATTGATCTGGATTACCCGAAAGAGCAGAGGAAAGCTAAGTCATATCTTAGGCATTGAACCAAAGCTGAGAGATCGCACTTTTGATGCTTGGGATGAGAAAGATTTGATGATTATGGTCTGATTTTATAACTCTATGACATTGGAGATTAGTAAAATAGTTATGTGTCTGCTTACAACAAAGGAGATTTGAGATTTAATCCGAGAAACCTGTTCCAAAGGAAAAGATGTAGCTCACATATATGACCTAATCGTAAAAGCTTGGACAACTAGATATGGTAACTAGAAAGTCACATAATATGCCAACTTTTTAGAAGACTTAGGACAAGAACTTTACCAATATCATAGTATCACTCTGAGAAGCAGCAAAGATACAACAGTCTTGAAAAAAATGATTGAGAAATACAAAGTGTACTAATTTATGGTAGGATTGAGTGAAGAATATGATAGGTGAGAGTTCAGATCATAGAAAAAAAAAAGAAATGGTTATATCTGAAGGAGGTGATATCCTTAATTTAGCCCAAAGAAAAGTAGAAGATGAGTTATGCTTGAATTATGCATCATTGAGAGCTTCGCAATAGTAGCTAAAGGCTCCAAACCATGCCAGCTAGTGAAGAAACCAAATTATAGTGAGACCTTCGCTGCCCACGAGGAACATGGAAAAACTCTGGTGTACCTTTTGCAAGAAACCGAGCACACTAGAGAAAGAGTTAGAAACTTCATGGAAAGCCAACCGCCCCTAGCAAGGATTAGGGATAGAAGAAGAGTCAGGATCAAACAGGTAGAAATTGAGCGCTTGCGGACCTGACTCGAGTAACTTGAAAACCATAAAGGTAAATGTCTCCTAGCACATTCAGGTATGGATTTTATTCCTCATAGTTCAAACGCCTCAGATAAATCTTTTGCCTTGTCATTAATCTTGGACTCTGGAGCTACCGGCCACATAACCAACTCCTTTAAAGT